TAGATATTAAGGCCAGCATGCACTAGCTATTCTTCCTGATGCTTTCCCTCCTTCCACCTTCAATCCCCTCCAACCTCCAACAGGCCCCAGTGTATATTGTTCCCCATCATCATGTGTCCATGTGTTCTCATCATTCAGTTCCCACTTATAAGGGAGAACCTGTGGTATTTGGCTTTCTGTTCTTAAGTTAGTTTGCTGAGGTTAATGGCTTTCAGCTCTATCCATGTCCCTGCAAAGTACATGATCTTGTTCTTTTTTATGGCGGCGTATATTTAATGGTTTATATGTACCATATTTTCTTTACCCAGTCTATCACTGATGGGCATTTAGATTAATTCTATGTCTTTTCTATTGTGAATAGTGCTGCAATGAACATACACATACATGTATCTTTATAATACAATGATTTATATTTTGGGCGTTATAAACCCACTAATGAGATTGGTGTAACAAATGGTATTTCTCCCTCTAGGTCTTTGAGAAATCACCACACTGTCTTCCACAATGGTTAAACTAATTTACACTTCCACCAACAGTATAAAAGTTTTCCTTTTTCTGCACAACGTTGTTAGCACCTGATAGTTTTTAATAGCCTTTCTGACTGGTATGAGGCGATATCTCATTGTGTGTGTGTGTGTGTGTGTGTGTGTGTGTGTGTGTGTGTGTGTGTGTTTATGGAGTTTAGCTCTTGTCACCCAGGCTGGAGTGCAATGGCACAATCTAGACTCACTGCAACCTCTGCCTCTGAGGTTCAGGTGATTCTCCTGCCTCAGCCTCCCAAGTATCTGGGATTACAGGCACCTGCCACGAGGCTCAGCTAATTTTTGTTTTGTGTGTGTACGTTTTTAGCAGAGACAAGGCTTCGCCATGTTGGCCAGGCTGGTCTCGAACTCCTGACCTCAGGTGATCCACCCACCTCAGCCTCCCAAATTGCTGGGATTACAGGAGAGAGTCATCGCACCTGGCCTCTCATTGTGGTTTTGACTTGCATTTCTCTAATGATCAGTGATGTTGAGTAATTTTTCATATGTTTGTTGGCCACATGTATGTCTTCTTTGGAGAAGTATCTGTTCATGTATTTTGCCCATTTTTAATGGTTTTTCTTTTTTTCTTATAAATTTGTTTAAGTTCCTTGCAGATGCTGGATATTAGACCTTTGTCAGATGGATGGATTGCAAACATTTTCTCCCCTTCTGTAGGTTGTCTGTTTACTCTGTTGATAGTTTCTTTTGCTGTGCAGAAGCTCTTTAGTTTAATTAGATCACATTTGTTCATTTTTGCTTTTGTTGCAATTGCTTTTGGTGTCCTCATCATGAAATCTTTGCCTGTGCTTGTCCTGAGTAGTATTGCCTAGATTTTCTTCTATGGTTTTTATAGTTTTGGGTTTAACATTTAAATCTTTAATCCATGAGTTGATTTTTGTATAGGGTTTAAGGAAGAGGTTTAGCTTCAGTTTTCTGCATATGGCTAGCCAGTTCTCCCAGCACTGCTTATTAAATAGGGAATCCTTTCCTTGTTGCTTGTTTATGCCAGGTTTGTTGAAGATCAGATGGTTGTAGGTGAGTGGCCTTATTTCTGGGTTCACTATTCTGTTCCATTGGTCTATGTGCCTGTTCTTGTACCAGAGCCGTGCTATTTTAGTTATGGTAGCCTTGTAATATTGTTCGAAGTCAGGTAATATGAAGCCTCCAGCTTTGTTCTTTTGCTTAGGATTGTATTGGCTATTTGGGCAGTCTTTTGATTCTGTATGAATTTTGAAATAGTCATGTCTGACGCTGTAAAGAACATCAATGGTAGATTAATAGGAATAACATTAAATCTATAAATTGCTTTGGGCAATGTGTTCATTTTCACAATATCAATTCTTCCTATCCATAAGCATGAATATTTTCCCATTTGTTTGTGTCATCTCTGATTTATTTGAACAGTGGTTTTTAGTTCTTGAAGAAGTCCATAACTTTCCTTGTTAGTTGTATTTCTAGGTATTTTTGTGGCAATTTTGAATGGCAGTTCATTCATGATTTGGCTCTCAGCATGCCTATTGTTGATGTATAGGAAAGCTAGCAATTTTCGCACATTGATTTTGTATCCTGAGACTTTGCTTAAGTTGCTTATCAGCTTAGGAGGCTTTTAAGCTAAGACAATGATATAGGATCAATTTCTAGATATAGGATCATGTCATGTGCAAACAAAGATTGTTTGACTTTCTCTCTTCCTGTGTAAATAAATACCCTTTATTTCCTTCTCTTGCCTAATTTTCCTGGCCATAACTTCCAATACTATGTTGAATAAGAGTGGTGAGAGAAGGCATCCTTGTGTTGTGCCAGTTTTCAAGAGGAATGCTTCTAGCTTTTTCCTATTCAGTGGGTCTGTCACAAATAACTCTTACTATTTGGCAGTATGGTCCTTCACTACCTACTTTACTAAGAGTTTTTTTCAATTTTTTTTTGTTGCATTTTAGGTTTCGAGGAACATGTGAAGAACATGCAAGATTGCTGCATAGGTATACACATGGCAGTGTGGTTTGCTGCCTTCCTCCCCATCACCTATATCTGGCATTTCTTCCAATGTTATTCCTCCCCAAATCCCTACCCCCTGCTCTTCCTCCCCTATCCCCTGCCCCCCACAAACCCCAGTGTGTGATGCTGAGAGTTTTTAATGTGAAGGAGAGTTAAATTTTTATTGAATGCCTTTTCTGCATCTATTGAGATAACCATGCAGTTTTTGTCTTTACTTCTGTTTATGTGATGAATCACATTTATTGATTTGCATATGTTGAACCAAACTAGCATGCTGAGGATGAAGCCTACTTGAATGTGATAGATAAGCTTTTTGATCTGCTGCTGGATTCAGATCAACAGTATTTTATTGAGGATTTTTGCATCAATGTTCAGCAAAGATATTGGCCTGAAGTTTTTTTATTGTTGTTGTATCTCAGCTAAGTTTTGGTTTCAGGATGACGCTGGCCTCATGCAATGAGTTAGGAAGGAGGCTCTCCTTTTCAGTATTTTGGATTAGTTTTCATAGAAATGGTACCACATTTTCCTTGTACTTCTGGTACAATTCAGCTATGAATCAATTTGGTCCTGGGCTATTTGACTCGTAGGCTATTTATTACTGTCTCAATTCCAGAACTCATTAGTTTATCCATTTCTTTTAGATTTTCTAGTTTATCTATATAGAGGTGTGTAGAGTATTCTCTAATAGTTATTTGTATTTCTGTGTGGTCAGCTTATCAATTCTGATTGTGCTTATTTTAATATTCTCTTTTTTGTTCTTTATTAGCACAACCAGTGATCTATTTATTTATTTATTTATTTAAAAAAAACTGGTTCTTGGATATGTTGATTTTTGAAGGGATTTTTTGTGTGGGGGTGTGTGTCTATCTTCTTCTGTTCAGCTCTGATCTTGGTTATTTCTTGTCCTCCTCTAGTGTTTGCTCTTGGCTCTCTAGTTCTTTTATTTGTGATGTTACATTAAAAAATGAGAACTTTCTAGCTTTTTGACATGGGCATTTAGTGCTAAAATTTCCCTCTTAACAAAGCTTTAGCTGCATCCCAGACATTCTGGTATGTTGTCTCTTTGTTCTCATTGGCTTCAAAGAACTTCTTTATTTCTGTCTTAATTTTGTTATTTACCCAAGAGTCATTCAAGTGCAGTTGTTCAATTTCCATGTAGTTGTGTGGTTTTGAATAAATTTCTTAATCTTGAGCTCTAATTTGATTGCACTGTGGTCTGAAAAATTGTTTGTTATGATTTCAGTTCTTTTGCATTTGTTGAGGAGTGTTTTACTTCTGATTATATGATCAATTTTAAGTAAGTACCATGTGATGATATTGTTTCTGTTGTTTTGGGTTGCAGAGTATTGTAGATATTTATCAGGTCCACTTGATCCAGAGCTGAATTCAGGATCTGAATATTTTTGGTAATTTTCTGTCTCAGTGACCTGTCTAGTGTTGTCAGAGGGATGTTAAAGTCTCCCACTATTATTGTGTGGCAGTGTAAGTCTCTTTGAAGATCTCTAAGAACTTGGTTTATGAATCTGGGTGCTCCTGTATTGGGAGTATATATATTTAGGACAGTTAGCTCTTCTTGTTGAATTAAATCCTTTACCATTATCTAATGCCTTTTGTCTTTTTATAATCTTTGTTGGTTTAAAGTCTGTTTTATCAGAAGCTAGGATTGCTACCCCTGCATTTTTCTGTTTTCCATTTTCTTGGTAAATTTTTCTCAATCCCTTTATTTTGAGCTCATGTGTGTCTTTGCACATGATATGGGTCTTTTGAAGACCAAATACTGATGGATCTTGTTTTTTTGTTTGTTTGTTTGTTTTGTTTTGTTTAATCTAGCTTCCAATTCTGTGTCTTTTAATTGGGGGATTACATTCAAGGTTATTATTGTTATGTGTGGATTTGATCCTGTCATCATGATGCTAGCTGGTTGTTTTGCAGACTTGTTTATGTGGTTGCTTCATGGCGTCACTGGTCCGTGTACTTCAGTGTCTTTTTGTAGCAGCTGGTAACAGTTTTTCCTTTCCATATTTAGTGCTTCCTTCAGGAGCTCTTGCAGGACAGGTCTTGTAGTACAAATTTCCTCAGCATAGCTTGCCTAAAAAGGATTTTAATTATTTGCTTATGAAGCTTAGTTTGGCTGAATATCAGATTCTGGGTTGGAAATTCTTTCCTTAACAAATGTTGAATTTGTTCTGAATCTTTTTTGGCTGGTTTGGTTTCCATTGAGAGGTCTGCTGTTAGTCTGTTGGGGTTCCCTTTGTTGGGGACCTACCCTTTCTGTCTGCACTTAAAACTTTTTCTTCTTTTCGACCTTAGAGAATCTGTTGATTATGTGTCTTGGGGATGATCTTCTTGTGGATTATCTTACAGGGATTCTCTGCATTTCCTGAATTTGAATGTTGGCCTGTTTTGCTAGGTTGGGGAAGTTCTCCTAGTTGATATCCTGAAGTATATTTTCCAACTTTGTTCAAGTCTCCTTATCTTTCTGTTACCCCAATTAGTCATAGGTTGGTCCCTTTACATAATTTCGTGTTTCTCAGAGGTTTTGTTCATTCCTTTTCTTTCTTTTTTCTCTATTCTTATCTGCCTATCTTATTTCAGAAAGATAGTATTCAAGCTCTGAGATTAGTTTCTCTGGTTGGTCTATTCTGGTATTAATGCTTGGGGTTGCATTGTAAAGTTCTCATGTTGTATTTTTCAGCTCTAACAGGTCAATTATGTTCCTTTCTAACTGGCTATTTTGGCTGTCATCTTCTGTATTGTTTTATCATGATTCTTAGCTTCTTGTCATTGGGTTACAACATGCTTCTTTAGCTCAGCAAAGTTTGTTACTACCCACTGTCTGAAGCCTACTTCTGTCATCTTAGCCACCTCAGCCTCAGCCCAGTTCTGAGCCCTTGCTGGAGAAGTGTTGTGGTCATTTCAAGGAAAAGGGGCACTCTGGCTTTTTGAGTTTTCTGTGTTTTTGCATTGATTCCTTTTCATCTTTGTGGGCTTATCTACCTTCAATCTTTGAGGTTTCTGACTTTTGGATGGTTTTGTTGTGGGCTTGTGGTTGTTGTTATTGTTGTTTTCTGTTTGTTTTTTCTTTTAATAGTCTGGCCATTCTTCCGTAGGATCATTGCAATTTGCAGAGGGTCTGCATACTTGGAGGACTCATCAGTGAAGGCTGTGAAACAGCAAAGATGGCAACCTTCCCCTTCCTCTATAAGCTCCATCTCAGGGTAGTACTGATCTATTGCCAGTCCCAATGCACCTATAGGAGGTGGCTGGAGACCCAGGTTGGGAAATCTCACACAGTCAGGGGCAACAGGATCAGGGACCCATTTCAAGAAGCAGCCTGATTTTTTGGTAGAACAGTTTTACTGTGTTGAGGATTCCTTCAGCCCCTTATTGGTTTGGGCTCTCTAAGGCCCACAGGCTATACTAGCTAAAAAGTCCAAATTGCCAAGGTGGCAGCCTGCCCCATCCCTCAGGCACTCAATGCCAGGGAGAAATTAGAGCTCAGTCAGCCCGATAGAGCACAAATGGAGGTGGCCGGAGGCCCTGGCTGGGAAGACCTGACTGGGAGAATCTGCCCCATAAGTAGGAGTGAATCAGGGTCCCGCTTCAAGAAGCAATCTGGTCATGCCTCGACACAACAGCTGTATCATGGTGGGGAATCTCTTGTCAGCTTGGACTCTCCAAAGCCGGCAGGTTGGAACTGCTGAGTCATCCAACCAACCCAGGTGGTGACCTTCCACTCCCCAGGGCACTCTGTTCCAGGGAGAGATTGTAGCTCTGCCCCTAATAGGTGTGTGCAGCTGTGGCTGGAGGACTGGACTAGGAGCTCTCCGCCCAGTGAGAAGGAATGGATGGGGGCCCCACTTAAAGAAGCAGTCTGGCCATGATCTGGCAAAGGTGCTGTGCTGTACTGCAGTGGGGACCCTTCCTGATCTGGACCATTTGAACTCTCCAAAGCCTGCGACTGAAATGGCTGAGTCAATCAAACAGCAGGATGGTCCTTCCCACTCCCCTCAGTGGCTCCCTCTGGTCTCAGGCAGGCTCTGCCCTGTTGACAGTGCCTGGCAGGAATTCCAAGCCAATGGGTCTTATCTTGTGAGGTGCTGTGGAAGTGGGGACCACAGAATGACGCTGCTCAGCTCCCTGAATTCCACCTCTTCCTAAAGGTATGCGTGGATTTGTATATTTTATACATAAAGCTCTTGGGTCTCTGTGTGTGCCAGAGCAGCTTCTCTGCCAAGTCTCCACATAGCTTGGAGGGAGTTCACAAGGGGATCTCCTGGTGGATTGGGTTCACAAGTAGATCTCCTGATCCATGGATTGCAAAGATCTATGGGAAAAGCATGACTTCCCGGGGTTGCACAATCACTCATCACTTTCCCTGGCCGGTGGTGGATGTTCCCTAGGTTCCCTGTTGCTCCTGGGTGGGCCATTACCTCACCCTGCTTTTTTTCGTTCTCCGTGGATAGAGTTGTTCCCTGTTGTAGGAATGGTTTCCCAGAACTACTTTTACTGTTCCAGTGGCAACTTACTCTATTCATGATACAAAGATAGAAGGCAAAGGGACTTATTATAAAATAAAGATGTTTTATGGCATCAGAAACTAGAAGTATTTGGTGGGTATTGGAGAAAAAAAATTGTATAAAATATACAAAACCAGAAACTAATCTTTGAAAACATTCTTCTAATCTTAAAATATGTTTATATATATATATATACAAACATTATATATGTGTGTGTGTTTATCCAAACATACATACATACATACATATATATATATATATATATATATAGAGAGAGAGAGAGAGAGAGAGACAGAGAGAGACAGAGAGAAAAAGAGGGAAGAGTAGTCTCACTATAGGTTTCTGGGGCATAATACTACTGAGAATTATGTCTGAAATCAGTGACCAATAAAACTCATCATCTGTTTACTTCCATTTTGGTCAAAGCAAGATAGTGCTCATTGGAAGACTTAGTTTCATCCCAGACCTCTGTGACTCCCCACTTGGGTGGTTCATCTGCTTAAATGACCTCCCAACCTACTCCAGGAAAACTCAGCAGCCAGCATCTTCAGCTGCTTTCTGTGTTCCATCTCAATTCATGAAAGAACTTTGGAGAGTCAAACCCTAGCAACATTGCCTAACCATGAAAGTATGATCATTTATTCTGCTATGGGCGCTCCAAGATAGATGTGAGACAGAAGAATACCCATGAGAAAGTTTTATTCCATACTTCAAACAGAAAAGGAAGCAGGGTGTACTCTCTGTCTCATTTATTTGACCCCTCCTTCCAAGTAAATTATAGAAAATAGGAATTAGAACACAAATTTAACTAATTTCACTTTCTTCTCTATCTCTTTATTATACTTTCATAATCCCATCAGACAAAGAACTAACTTATTTCTATTCTCTATGATCTAACTTCTTTCTACTGTGAACAAAGTCTTAAGAACTAGCTGTCAAAGGATAAAGTGATATCTTCTCTATGCCACAGCTATGCCCCTTATGATTGTCCCTAAAATATTAAATTGGCACTCAAAAAGCCTGAAAATTCTTCCTCTCTCCATAGACCCAGGTCTTAAGGTCCAATGTTTTGCTAAAGAGAGTAAGGTCTTACCCTTTTTTTCTTTTTTTAAATTTCCTGGCTTGGCTCTAGAGATGTGAAATAGAAAACCAAACATGACTTAAAGGGAAAATTAAAGTGCATTTGGGTCATTATTTGCAAAAGGTTAACCACAATACACAAACTATGTCTTTCAATAGTTTTTATTTCCCTTACCTTATTCCCAACCCTTGTTTTCAGGTGAGAACACAGAAACATGATGTAAATAAACCCTAGAATACCTTAAAGGAATATAAAATTGATATTTTTAATTTAAAAAGTGAACATTTGTCCCACCCATTGTTAGTATCCTTGAAACAATGTTAGCACCTTTGAAACTAATTTTATTTTTCTGAGATAAAGAAACTCTTCTGACCAAAGTTCAAGAAGAAACCATATTTATGTGAAAGTATTAAAACTCTTATACATCATTAAAAACAATGGTAGGTATATTTTTATCATCACTCCATCATAACTTACAGCATAACTTTCAGATTATATATCTGATTCATTTTAATACATATTTAACAGAAATAAGCAAAACTTATACTTGTTATACTATAGCAAAATTCTGCCATTCCGGTATCTAAAAGTAAAATAATAATAACAATCTTTTGTTTATCACATTTTCTGTGATAGGAAAAAAGGAAAAGAATCTGCCTTGTATTAAAAATACCTTTTCAAACATTGCTACTATTTCTTTCTTTTTTTTTTTTTTTTTTTTTTTTGAGACGGAGCTTCACTCTTGTTACCCAGGCTGGAGTGCAATGGCGTAATCTCGGCTCACTGCAACCTCCACCTCCCGGGTTCAGGCAATTCTCCTGCCCCAGCCTCCTGAGTCGCTGGGATTACAGGCATGCGCCACCATGCCCAGCTAATTTTTTGTATTTTTAGTAGAGACGGGGTTTCACCATGTTGACCAGGATGGTCTCGATCTCTTGACCTCGTGATTCACCCGCCTCGGCCTCCCACAGTGCTGGGATTACAGGCTTGAGCACATGTTATTGCTTCATCACAATAATAAGGTAGTTAAATTTCTTCAACCAGAAATCTGGAAGGTAGGTGGTCAGGGCTAGCAAACCTGCTTAAGGGTGTCATTAGGAAACCAGACTTCTTCTGTTGTCATTATCTTCTATCCTTAACATACAGCTTTCTTCCTCATGACCTTAAGAAAGCTGCTGTACTTCTGATCATCTTGTTCACATTCTGGACAGAAGGAAGGAAAAAGGAGAAGGTCAAAGACAAAAAGGCTTTTTTTCCAAGCAACTTTGACTTTTCATTCAGGAAATAGTTTGCAGTGTCCTTCTGCATTCTACTGGCCACACCTGTGTGTCCTGGCCAACTTCATAAGGCAGTTGTAAAGGATACCAGGATAAAGTGTTTAGCTTTCCAGTGTCCAGAGAAGAGGAAGACAGGAGAGTCTTTCGGTGATTGAATTGTGAGTGAGCCAACTGCCAGCATCTGACACACTGACATGAAGTTACCTTTTGGCATGAGTTCAAATGTAAAGGAAATTTGAAACTAATCTTACCTGTCTACATTTATAATTATAAATTATATTGTAATTATAAGACTTCCTGTATAGCAAATGTTTGTGATTTTTGAATAAACATATTAACTAGTAATGTACAATTTTTACATAATATGTAGCATCAAGTCTAATTAAATATTAATTCTGATCTATTATGACAAAAGTTTCTTGTGGACTGAGATAATAATTCTTAGTCAAAACCATAGTAAGTGGATAATATTTTCAGTTATAAACTCATGGCTTATATTTATTAATTTTTTCACCAGAAAGCGAAAGAAACATTATTTTTCAATTGAAATTCCATTCAAACCTCAGTGAAGGAACTCTTTTGTCATCACATCAAAAAGAATCCAAAAATAGTAAAAGGGAAGACTTATGAATGAGAATGAAGCTGATTCAGGAAAATGTCACATTTAGCTCTTTTCTTCAAGTAGTATTCTTAATCATAAGTAGCTTAATGTATTACCATATCTAATTACGTACTATAACTTTTTCAGGATAAGCGGAACTATGACAAGTGTCAGTTTGCATCATATTTAATTTTTGTTTAACAAATTAAAACATTTTCATCACTCCTAAAAGAAATCTAGCACCCATTAGTAGTCTCTACTCAACTTCTTCCCAAAGCCCTCCCCTCCCAGCTCTAGGAAGCTACTAATTAAACTGTATTTTATGGATTTGCTTATTCTAAACATTTATTAAAAATTGAATCATAACAATATGTGGTACTTTGTGACTAGCTTCTTTTACTTAACATAGTACATTTAAGGTTCATCCATGTTGTAACATTTATCAGTACTTCATTTTAATGCCTCATAATATTTATTCCATTAATATTTATTCCAAACCCCTATTTATTTGTGACACTCTGAACTGATCTAAGCAGTTTTATCACCTGTTATAACTCTAGATAGTATGCAACATGAGGAGAAATGCCAGATATAGGTGATGGGGAGAAAGGCAGCAAATCACACTGCCACGTGTGTACCTATGCAACAATCTTGCATGTTTTTCACATGTACCCCCAAACCTAAAATGCAGTGAAAAAAAAAAAAAAAAAGAAAAGAATTTAATGTGAAAGGAAAAAAAAAAGATACCATGCATTGTAAAAAGAACCATTCTCTTAGGTTCTTATTTCCTTTGCCGTCTAAAAATAATCACTTTTCTGAGATATGGTAGGCTGAATAATGGTCCCCAAAGATAACTAAGTATTTACCTTTGGGAACTTTGTAAACTTACATAGCAAAATGGACTTGCAGATGTAATTAAATGGGAAGATTTTCCTAGATTATGCAGATGGGACCTAAATTAAATCCCAAATTGGGATGTAGAAGGAGATTCGATGCAGAAGAAGGCAGTGTGCCCCCTGAAGCATGATGGCACACAGCTGGCTTTTAAAAAATTTTATTGCACTTTAGGTTCTGGAGTACATGAGCAGAACATGCAGGGTTGTTGCACAGGTACCTACATGGCAATGTGGTTTGCTGCCTCCATCCCCCCATCACCTATATCTGGCACATCTCCCTGTGTTATCCCTCCCCAACCTCCCTACCTCCTGCTATCCCACCTGTATTCCCCCTCAACAGATCCCAGTGTGTGATGCTTCCCTCCCTGTGTTCTTATTGTCCAACACCCGCCTATGAATGAGAACATGAGATGTTTGATTTTCTGTTCCTGTGTCAGTTTGCTGAGAATGATGGTTTCCAGATTCATCCATGTCCCTACAAAGGATATGAACTCATCTTTTTTTATGGCTGTATGGTATTCCATGGTGTATATGGGCCATATTTTCCTTGTCCAGTCTATCATCAATGGGCATTTGGGTTGGTTCCAGGTCTTTGCTATTGTGAACAGTGCCACAATTAACATATGTGTGCGTGTGTCTTTATAATAGAATGATTTATAATCCTTTGGATATATACCCAGTAATGAGATTGCTGGGTCAAATGAAATTTCTATTTCTAGATTCTTGAGAAATCACCACACTGTCTTCCACAATGGTTGAAATAATTTACGCTTCCACCAACAGTGTAGTGTAAAAGTGATCCTATTTCTCCACATCCTCTCCAGCATCTGTTTTTAACAATCGCCAGTCTAACTGGCGTGAGATGGTATCTCAATGTGGTTTTGATTTGCATTTCTCTAATGACCAGTGATGATGAGCGTTTTTTCATATGTTTGTTGGTTGCATAAATGTCTTCTTTTGAAAAGTGTCTGTTCATATCCTTCTCCCACTTTTGAATGGGTCTGTTTGATTTTTCTTGTAAATCTGTTCTAATTCTTTGTAGATTCTCCATCTCCCTTTGTCAGATGGAGAGATTGCAAAAAAAATTTCCCATTCTGTTGGTTGCTGGTTCACTCTAATGATTGTTTCTTTTGTTGTACAGAAGTTCTGAAGTTTAATTAGATCCCATTTGTCTATTTTGGCTTTGTTGCCAATGCTTTTGGTGTTTCACTCATGAAGTCCTTGCCTATGCCTATGTCCTGAATGGTTTTGCCTAGGTTTTCTTCTAGGGTTTTTATGGTGTTAGGTCTTAGGTTTAAGTTTTTAAGTTTTTAATCCACATGGAGTTAATTTTAGTGTAAGGTGTTAGGAAGGGGTCCAGTTTCTGCTTTTTGCACATGGCTAGCCAGTTTTCCCAACGCCATTTATTAAACAGGAAATCCTTTCCCCATTGCTTTTTTCAGGTTTGTCAAAGATCAGATGGTTGTAGATGTGTGGCGTTGCCTCTGAGGCCTCTGTTCTGTTCCCTTGGTCTATATCTGTGTTTTGCTACCAGTACCATGCTGCTTTGATTACTGTAACCATGTAGTATAGTTTGAAGTCAGGTAGCGTGATGCCTCCTGCTTTGTTCTTTTTGCTTAGAATTGTCTTGGTTGAAGAAGAGGCGATGGGCCAAGAAATACAAGCAATACAGCTCTAGATGTTGGAAAAGTCAGGGAAAAAGATTGTCCTCTACAGCCTTTGAAGGGATCATGTCAATACCAACACCCTGATTTTAACCTAGTGAAACTGATTTCAGACTTCTGACCCCCACATGTAATAGAATAAATGTGTGCAGTTTTAAGCCACCAAATTTCTGGTAGCCAAGGAAACTACTACATCAGGTAATATATTTAAATTTTAATAGGCTTCCTAGGGGAACTGTACTGCATTACCTCATAAAACTAATTCTTTTTTTTTTTTTTTTTTTTGAGATGGAGTCTCGCTCTTTCACCAGGGCAGAGTGCAGTGCTGCAATCTTGGCTCACTGCAGCCTCCATCTCCAGGGTCCAAGTGATTCTCCTGCCTCAACCTCCCAAGTAGCTGGGACTACAGGTGTCTGCCACCACACCCAGCTAATTTTTGTATTTTTAGTAGAGATGGGGTTTCACCATATACCACTTAACAAGCTGATTATGAAACAAAGATCTACCACAATGAACTGAAAATTGAAGCAAACTGTGAAAATTCAACGGGCTGGATGCAGAAATTTAAGAATACACATGATATTAAATTTTTAAAGATTTCTGATGATCAAGCACCTGCTGATCACAAAGCAGTGGAGCAATTCAGTAATGAGTTAGACATCATTGCTGTCGGCCAGGATGGTCTAGATCTCTTGATCTTATGATCTGCCTGCCTTGGCCTCCCAAAGTTCTGGGATTACAGACATGAGCCACTGCACCTGGCCAGGACTAATTCTAATGTTAATACATGGTGCATGTAATTTAAGGAGATATTTGGGGGTAAATAAGCTTTTGATGCCCCATCAAATCCTGCATTATACATGATAATTTATTCTTTAAGTTCCATAATTGGGAAAGTACACAAAGATCTTTGTGCATGATAGGATTCCAGGGTAAGAAAGCTGCATTCCATCAGCTGAAGGATGTTTCTTTACCCTCAGTGTTTTTCTTGACTTAAAGAAAACTATGAGCACTAGGGCTATGCTCTTGATCTTCCTGTGGATCGAGTGGAAGGAGGTATAGCTAAATCATTTATGAATTCAGGCTTTGATATTGATAATCACTAAATTGTGCTAAAAAGTACAGACTGAGCATCCCTAACTTGAAAGTACAAACTTTAAAAGGATCAAAAATCTGAAACTTTCTGTCAACATGACACCACAAGTAGAAAATTCCACACTTGACCTCATGTGACAAATGACAAATCATCATCAAAATGCAGATGCACAATACAATTTATTCAGCATTCCCAAAGGAAAAAAAAAGAGAGACCTCCAATTTTCCTTTAGCTGTGATGTATCTTTTTTCAAGCATGTCAA